TGAGTTGATAACCCACGTCCCCTAAAAAGAGAAAAATAACTAAAGTAACAAATTCCGCAGAACTGTATGTTCTTAAATGAGATGAGACAAATGGGTCAATAGAATACTCATTTCAACTATGGCCTTTGCTATATAAATACAATACTTTTGAAAAGAACTTCCTTAGAAGAAAGCCAGATACACTGCACTTTAATCTATGCACAGAGCATAGGTGGTTGTGTTATGTTCACAGTATCCCTATAAATAATGGACGCAATATTATTAAATTGTTTAGTTTAATCTGTTCAGTTTAAGGTAGCGCTGTTAGCATTGAACACCATGGAATCTTTTTATTTTTAATAAAGTACTAATGTCAGTGTCCAATGTTTTATTTCCTATTTCAGACAAAAAACATCCATAGTACAGTTCCAGATGCGTATGCAAAACAGGGCCAGTAAGATTACCTTCCTTATAGCACCTTTATCTAACACAGGTTTCCTCTAAACTCCCAAATGGGAGGGAGACGTAAGGACTAGAATGTGGACACCTTTAGATCTGGTGGACCCTCTTTTAGCGTTATTATCATGATAGGGTTCCAGGCGTAACTGAAAAGGAAAAGCCTGTACTCAGCAATGTGTTTCATGGCGGCTTATTCTAGCTGTCTCATAAAATAGCACTTTTTATGCACCTCCTGACAACATGAATTTAAAAGATGGAAGATCTGGCAATCCACAAAAGCTTGAAAAAAAAAGATTGTAGATATATTGCCTAAGTAAACTATTTTTAATTAAACAGTGGGATAGGGCTACCTAAATAATACATTTTTTGTTGGCTCACATTCCTTGCAAAGTTTTAGGATTCCTTCACCTAACATACAGTTAATCTACAGTATGTCCATATCTCTTAGACTTAAAGGGGCCGTCTAAGCACCATAGCCACTACATGCCATGCTAGGGATTATCATGCTGTTTGGCTGTGGTCACTGTCACCCAGTTCTGGGTCAAGCTATTTTAAGCGGTTTGACCAAAACCAGTGGTCACTGAGACACCTGCTTATCGTGTGTTAATGCAATTCCTAAAACCCTTCTGGAACCAAGATCCCATCTCTGTGATAATGTTTATGATAAAGTGATAATCTCCAGTTATGTTGAAAATAAAACAGAAGAGAAACAAATTGACTTTTGGTAAAGTAAATAGAAAACAAAATTAAGTCTTTAATGTAGAATCTCTAATTGTATTGCTTTCACTGAAACCCTTGTGAAAGAATATCTTCCATGTTTGCTGTACTCTTGTAAAACCATCTACAGGCTTTATATTACATCCTGAATGCACTGTATCTTGAGCCGAATGAGCATGCTGAGCATGTGTTTAGTCCACACAAACTGCAGTTTTGGTATTACCCAATTCCTGACCGATTACAAAACTAAAATTGTCAAGTTACACTTCAACGTCAAAATTATTAATCCAAATCCAAGTTGTGTATCATTTTGTTAATTATGTGCTTTTAGTTCTACTGCTGTAAAAATGCCTGCTATTTTTTAATGTTACAAAGTACCTTCATCAGTAGTTGTAATTAGTGATGTCCCGAACTGTTCGCCGAACGGTTCGCCACGAATGGTTCGCCACGAATGGTTCGCCACGGACTCATCATTGAGTAAACTTTGACCCTGTACCTCACAGTCAGCAGACACATTCCAGCCAATCAGCAGCAGACCCTCCCTCCCAGACCCTACCACCTCCTGGACAGCATCCATTGTGAAGCTGCATTCTTAGTGAGCTGTCCAGGAGGTGGGTGGGTCTGGGAGGGAGGGTCTGCTGCTGATTGGCTGGAATGTGTCTGCTGACTGTGAAGTACAGGGTCAAAGTTTACTCAATGACGAGTCCGTGGCGAACCGTTCGCGAACAGTTCTGGACATCACTAGTTGTAATTCTTAACTTTAAAAGTCGGTTTTCTTTTCTAATGCTGTAACATATGCTACAAGAATAGATTTGAGGTTTAAAGGCTCAAATGAAAAATCTATGGCGTTATGTGATCACACCATCTGCAGTATTGCATAATGCGACACCACTCTCATTCAAACTTAAAATCCACAGTGTAAGAGAACTGTACTGCGGCGTTAACTGTGTGTATAGATAAGAGCCACAAACAGAGTGCAGCATGCAGGAAACACGAGAACAGTGTTCTTTGATTAGCTACCATCTCATCTCATACCATCTGTCACTTAAAGCAGCCCCGTCAATTCCAGAATATTTGGATATTTTGCCAAGACCCCCAAATGTGTCATCCCTGGTTTGTGTGCGGTGATGAGGGGTAAAGCTTAAGGGAAATATACTTACCTGAAGCTCGGCCAATTGTGTTCTTCAGCTCCTGGTGCTTTGTCCATCATGAGCCCATATCACTGCTATACTCTCACTCAAGAACTGGAGATGTTTATTAATAAAGCAGAGGAATCCTCCACAAACCAACTTGCAAAATTTGTGAGAAGATCTTTCTTTCCTACAGCCTTTAGCTATGACAAAAGTTGGCGGTAGCTTCTTCATTTTTTGCCATCTTTTATCTGCCTGGGCTTTGCAATGAGGCAAAGTAGTCTCTTGTGAAATCTTTTAATTGTCTGAAATTCCAATACAATGAACATGAGTATTTCATAAGGATTAACCCCAGGTGACAAAGCCTGGTTTTAAAAAATTATAATTTATTGTCATAAGTAAATATTTTATTTTACTCATAAAAACATTATGTGGAACTTTAATACCATAAAAATCTAAATATGTGCCTTTCGTTTTTTATTTTCTGAAAATGTGGCCAATTTTACAAATCATAGCAACTTATGATACAATTACTTACAAGGGTCCCTAAAAAGAACATTGTTGATCATTTTAAAAGAATTGGAAAAAGCCTACTATACAGCCAAGGCAATTGTGGCCTTAATTATGCATTTCTATTATCTGGCCGTAACTCACTGTATATTGTATAAGCCAGTTGATGTTTTTTAGAATATATACATCTTACACAATGATATCCTAAAGCACAGTTTGCAGTCAGACTGTAATCATAACTAAATCAATGTCCTTTCGATGTAATTGGGCAAAAATAGAAAACAGCTTTTCAGAATTAAACTTTTGATTACAATTTAATGACGTGTATTATAGATTTTAAGTGAGTGCAAAATGGTACTTAAGGCAGTTTTACAGAGATAAGTATGATACCTAAATATGAACTGTTTTGTTTAAAGACTCCTTTGTCCTTTATTCTAAATTGGAACAACTTACCTATTTAAAGGGTTACTGTAAGCACCGTGACCACTTCAGTGATTTGAAGTGGTCATAGTGCCTGTAGTCTGTATGTGCAGCATTTCAATGCACACACAATTTTTAACCCCCTCTGCTGCCGGATATGTAACTTCACCTCGGGGCAGCGCCACTGGAGTGTCATCAGCCAGCCTCAACAAGAGTTCCTGGCTGGTTAATATCAATTCTGTCCATATCTCTCCAGAAGCCGGATGCATGTTATTAGAGCAGGAAGGACCTGGCAGAAACCCAGGTAGGAGGGCAAACCAAGAGAAGATGGCGTGCCCCATTACTGGGAAACAAGGCCTGGGTACTGCTCACATCATAACCATTACAGTGGGCTGTAGTAGTGATAATGCTTGGAGTAACTCTTTATTCTTTTAATACCAATATTTATGGATATAAGCACTTTATACACTATACCGAAAATTGTTGTGAATTAATAGGTGAATGTCAAGCGTTTGGTAAAAAATCTATTATTTAAATATGGTAATATTTTACATTTCAGACCTGACATGAACTAGATTTTATTGTTAATCAATTTCACTATTTTCACTTTAAAAGTGACCTAATCTCCTTTAGCTAAGCTGTATTAATGACTTGTGTGTATTTCTTTGTGTCTGGTGTTTACAAATAAATCACAAACAAATGCATTTTTTTTTTGCAGCTTTTAATTAGCCGGGTATGTCATCATCAGCCTTTGAACTGAGTTTTGATTCACACATAACTGGAGCTAGAGAGCTCATTTTGGTCTTATCTCAAATGCTTACTCTATTGGTGTTAATGTTATAGAGCAGTGGTTCCCAACATTTTTTTCACTTGTACCCCTTGTCAGCTCCTTTCCATAAATTGTACCACTCATACTAGCGAAATGTTTATTAATATAGTTGCTGTTATTTCCAATGTATGTGTTTTTCTCTGCCCCGGACTCCCCTCCTTTTCCTCTGCCTCAGGCTCCCCTGCTTCACCTCTGCCCCAGGCTCCCCTGTTTCTCTTCTGCCCCAGGCTCCCCTGCTTCTCTTCTGCCCCAGGCTCCCCTGCTTCTCCTCTGCCCCAGGCTCCCCTGCTTCACCTCTGCCCCAGGCTCCCCTGCGTCTCCAAGGTCCTCCTGCTTGTCCTCTGCCCCAGGCATATATATAGTGTGTATATAGTATATACACTGGCACACATGCAGATACACAAACACTGCTGATTCAGCCTCACTTCAGGTGCGGCCACATCACCAGAAGTGACGGGTGTAGGGAATCCTAACAGGGTAGGGGATTTTGATAGAACAACGCTGTAAAAGATATGTCGGCAGCATGGCACCCTTTGTTGTCATGGCTCCCTCTGCGGCTGCACAGCTTGCACACCCCTAAGGCCGGCTTTGAATATATGCATATGATATGGTTATAAAGTACGTATATGTCATGAGTGTAATATCTGTCTAGGTAAAATACAGAACCGGACTAGGGTAAAAAATTTGCTCTGGCAAATAACATTAGAGAGGGGGATCAGCACAAAGGGGGAATACAGGACAAAACATTTAATCATATAATAATCACATAATACATTTGGCCAGAATACAGCCAATATCTGGAGTACCTCCGGACTCCTGAAGAGTCATCTTTCAGCACTCAGAAGAAGAAAATCCTCCTGTGGAGAAAACTTCTGTGGAACCATGGCTCTTCGCTCTAGGCATTAAGAGGAATTAGTACTTTTTATGAGATATTTAAATTAACAAACAAAATGAAAGAGAGGCAAGCAGAGAAATATACAGAGGGAGAGAAAGAGACAGACAGGCAGGGAGAAAGACAGACAGATAGATGCGCATAGCTTAAACCGAGGTTCATCCATACTGAAGAAACTCCAATTTTTGATAAAGGGTAACCGAGTAGATGCACAAAATGTAATGCACCCAGCTGGAACCTCTATTGCTCAAAATCATATTGAGAGAAGTCAAGCTCCAAGTCTTCAGAGACAACCAATTGAAGCCTAGATCTGTATGCCATTGGGATGCGTATAAGAAGTGGACATGTAGTGAAGCACCAGATAGAAGTGGAAGAAAGTGGAAAATGTTCAAGTAGTTATATCAGCAGGTATGTTTATGACATCACACCATGACATTGCCTGTTGTGATTTCACTTGTATTGATCATCGTTTCTGAAGAGATGGATATTTTTATTATGTGTATAAAAGGGTACTGTGACCAAATTTGACATTTAAAATGTAGGAACGGGGGTGTTGCTAAGCGGCAAAAAAATGGGATTTCATAGTGGCCAACATTTGATAGAAATTCCATTTGGGGATGATTTATTGAAGTCTACTTTTTGGCAAATATTTTGTGGAATTTATTAAATCTGTCAAGTTTTCATCATCTGTTATTTCTTTTGTGCTCTCATAAGTAGAGCAATACTCTAGGGTTATATAATCTATTCTATTACATTGCCATGGAATAATATGCAATATCAGTAAGAGTGCTCTGATTGGAAACATTCTTATTGATATTACATATAGTGGGAAATTTTCCCATGCAATGCAATAGCTGACATAGCGTGGCAAAGGCTTTATATGGGCTCTTCCCAGTAGGGACAACGATGGATTGATTTTATTGCGTCTGTTTTTTGTATTTTTATTTTTTTTGCATTGCCTGATTGAGGGTTTTTTGGGATTGAAGATAAGAAGAATTTGAAAAAAAAAAAGAAAAGCTTCAGGTGGGTATTTATATTTATATATTTTACTTTAGATGTATTCATTTTATTAGCCCTCTTCTCTCTATTTTTAGGGTGTGGACAATTATTTTTATTGGGAGTGGCTAGGGGATTGGGGACCCCAAAACACATGTGGCAAGGGTCGGACAATGACACTATTTTCTATTGTCCACCCCACCCATAGTTTAATCAATTAAACCCCCACCCACTGCAATTAGTTAGGGTTTGAGGGATTACTTGGTCCTCCTTCCTGAGTATTGTAATAGCCTGCACCTGCTGACCATGGATTTACTGTCCACCCCTCATTACTTATCCAATGCCAACAGTTGGGGACATGGGGGGCATAGCCCCAATTGCTGTTATTTTACAGTTCCGCCCTTAACCCTTGGATAGCTGCCCTATATAGTTTTACAAATCTAGCAGATATGGAGGTCTTATTTAGGGCCAAACTGGCCCACTGGATATTGTGAAAATTGAAGTGAGACATGAAGGGGCTAAGGGTGGATTGGACACATGGAAAGGCTGGGGGTAATGAGAATGAGACACATTGAGGGGCTGGGCAGTAATGAGACACAAAAGGGGCTGAGGAGGGATGAGGCACATGGAGGGGCTGTGGGTGAGGTAATGAGACACATGGAGGGGATGGGAGATGAAAAGAGACATGGAAGGAGACATGGAGGAGCTGGGGGGAAATGAGACACATGGAGGGGCTGAGGGTTGGGTAATGAGACACATGCAGGGGCTGAGGGTGGGGTACTGAGAAATATGGAGGTGCTGGGAGATGAAAAAAAGATATACAGAAGGGCTGGGGAAGGGGAGAAAGAGAAAAAGGGGCATGGGGGAGAAAGACACACAAGACCGACTGGGGTAGAGAAACATACAGAGGAGTTGGAGAATGAGAAAAAGACGCACAAAGAGGATGGGAGGAAGTAGAAGATACACAAATGGGCGTGGTAAGAGACACTGAAGAGGAATGTAATTCACAGAAAGGGAAAAATAGATACACAAAAGCAGGCAAGAAATTAAAAGGGGAAGTTAAAAGAAACACAGGTGAAGATGCATTTTCTTTGTGGGGAGGAAATGCATCGTATTCTGTATCTCCTACTCTCCCTGTAACTCAGTTCTTCAGCACAGACGTTGATTGACAGGTGAGAGAAAGACACTTTATTAAAGGGACACTATAGTCACCAGAACCACTACAGTTTAATGTAGTGGTTCTGGAGTCAATAGTCTGTTCCTGCAGGCTGAGCACTGCAAATGCTGCCTTTTCAGAGAAAATACATTGTTTATATCAGGGCTCGACAAATTTGTCCTGGCACCTGGGATTTGTGCGCCCGTTCAGTCCCTGAGGTGACCTGCTGCCTGAGATTGGAGGCAGGCAGTTGGCTCACGGAGGGCTGAGGCAAGCAGGCAGACGGCCAGCCCAGGGAGAGATGAGGGAGGCAGGTAGGTGGGTGGCTGAAAGAGTGCGGCAGTGGCAGGGAGCAGTAATCTACCCAGGGAAAGCTTCAGCTCTCCTAAAGGTTGGGAGGCTGGGTGGATGTAAAGTAAAATTAAAAAAAAAGTTATAAATTGTTAGTAAGTGTTGCAGTATCAGTGTGTGTCTGTCTGTCAATGAATGTGTGAGTGAGTGTGTATGTCTGTCTGTCAGTGAGTGTGTGTCTCAGTGGATCTCTCTGTCAGTGAGTGTATCAAATCAATGTGTCTCTCTGTCAGTATGTGTCTGTCTGTCAGTGAGTGTGTATCAAATCTGTGTCTGTCACTAGTTTTCCTGGCACTATAGTGCCCTGAGGGTGCCCCCACCCTCAGGGTCCCCCCACCCTCAGGGTCCCCCTCCCGCCCGGCTCTGGGGAGAGGAAAGGGTTAAAACTTACCTTTATTCCAGCGCCGGGCGGGGAGCTCTCCGCCTCCGATCCTCCCTTTCGGCTGAATGCGCATTCAGCCGGTCTCATAGGAAAGCATTCATAATGCTTTCCTATGGACGCTGGCATCTTCTCACTGTAATTTTCACAATGAGACAGCCACTACAGGATTTGGAGGCTGAATTAACCCTATTATAAACATAGCAGTTTCTCTGAGACTGCTATGTTTATTAAAAAAAGAGTTAACCCTAGCTGGACCTGGCACCCAGACCACTTCATTAAGCTGAAGTGGTCTGGGTGCTTAGAGTGGTCCTTTAAGCTGTAGTGGTTCTGGTGATTATAGTGTCCCTTTAAGAATTGTATTTTTGATATTGAAGAATCTGGCTCGTAACTTTTTTGGGGGGCTCCTAGATTCAAAGCAAATTTGTCAAGTCCTTGTTTACTTATAACACCTCTAGTGACAGTCACTCAGACAGCCACTAGAGGTGATTCCTAGTCCATTGCTGAGCAGTGTGCAGCTCTGCATGAAGGCGCTGAAAGCCCCCAGTAGAGATGCATTGATTCATTGCATCTTTATGAGGATGCTGATTGGTACAACACAGTGTTTTGCCAAATATGCACAATAGCCTCCCAGTGCTTTTCTATGGGAAAGCATTGGAATGGCTGAGATCATGAACTTTGATGATCTCAGCTAAAGTGAAGAGCACACTCATAGGACTTTAAAATAAACAAGATACCATTATTGTTTACAGCTGTGCAAAAGCATACATTCACCATTACAGTCCCTTTACCAAACTTTTCTTAAAGGACCACTATAGTGCCAGGAAAACATACTCGTTTTCCTGGCACTATAGTGCCCTGAGGGTGCCCCCACCCTCAGGGACCCCCTCCCGCCCGGCTCTGGAAGGGGAAAGGGGTAAAAACTTACCTTTTTCCAGCGCTGGGCGGAGAGCTCTCCTCCTCCTCTCCGCCTCCGTTACGCCCCGCCGGCTGAATGCGCACGCGCGGCAAGAGCTGCGCGCGCATTCAGCCGGTCTCATAGGAAAGCATTTACAATACTTTCCTATGGACGCTGGCGTGCTCTCACTGTGAAAATCACAGTGAGAAGCACGCAAGCGCCTCTAGTGGCTGTCAATGAGACAGCCACTAGAGGATTAGGGGGAAGGCTTAACCCATTCATAAACATAGCAGTTTCTCTGAAACTGCTATATTTATAAAAAAATGGGTTAACCCTAGAAGGACCTGGCACCCAGACCACTTCATTAAGCTGAAGTGGTCTGGGTGCCTAGAGTGGTCCTTTAATATATCAAGGACGTTAGACTGAAACACTGATTATATGCAAATGCACGTCTGCTTAAAATAAATCAGCACTTTTGTTTATTTTGAAGCCCTTATAAGTGCTTTCACGTTGGAGTGATACTTTTTAATTTTCAATTTTAAGTTATCCTTTCCACCTCTATATCTGCACACTATGCTGGTGCAATGCTCTTTTGGGGTGGTAGACATTTGTTTTCCAGGGCTGCTTTTCATTCCCAGTCCGGCCCTGTTCTCATTGACAGATAATTTTAAGAGCTCCCTCACAGCCCTGGCGCTGCTGGTGACTTGAAGTGTTTAAGCCATTGAGTTCCTGACAGAGTACTAAGACACTAAGCAAACTCTTAAAGTGATCTGCACTCAATAGAGGTGCAGACCACAACACTTCTCCACCAGACATCCAGCTCAGTGTGTGCTCCACATTGCCCCAGGTTCCTTAACCCTGAGCAGGTAATTATTGCTATTTTTGGTAAACTGTGATAATTACCGGCTAGGGTTAACTCCTCCTTTAGTGACTGTCTACCAGAGAGCCAGAAGAGGAACTTCTGGGCTGTTCGACGACTTTTGGTTGCCAAACTGACACTCTATGTCCTCGGGAGAGTAGAGAAGGCAGAGGAGAGAAGGTGGACCCGAGCAAGCACAGGGGGACTCTGGTGCTGGACCCAGCGAAAGTGGCAGAAGGTTTTTTTTTGTTTGTTTGTTTTTTAAATTCTTTTTTTTGCTGTGCATGCGATTACATACAGACTTGCAATACCATGGCAATATTGGCAAGAAATTAACAGACAAGACATAGCTTTGACATGGTATATGAAATAACTGCACAGTTTTTTAAGTAAGTAACATCAAGCTTCATGGAAACATCACTATTTTTATGGTGTAATGGATTCAGGCTAGGTATATACGTCTTAAACAGTGGCTTGAACTAGGCGGGTAAGTATAAGAAGCATGTTATAAATAGAGATGAACATAGGGAGATAAAACAAGCTTATATCTGTAGCCTAGCAAGTTTAGCTGCGCAGCACATTTTGGGCTATAGGATGTCATATTAGGTAAACGCGTCTGCATAGGTAAAATATGCTTGAGAAAACATGCTGATTATGTACTATGTACTAGTTAGAAGGTTATG